GAATGATTTTTTTAAATCTCTCAATTATACCATTCAACAAATATAAAATTTAGTAACCATGCATATTTAAATTCAAAGTGCAAAACTGCTTTTCCCCCAAACAGGGAGAGATTATAACTGTATGTTTATTTTCTTTAGAAATTATTTTCTAATTCTTGTATTTCACTGTAAATAGTTAAGAGTAAAATATAACATTTTCACAATTTAAAGTTTTTTGCTAAAAAGATACGTTTTCAAAATGAAAGCAAGTCCAATTGTAAACCTTTTGACCTTGACTTACAAAAAGTATCTTTTGGTGTTTCAATTTCTAGCTATAAACAATGACCAAAGCAGTAATTATCTTTGACAGAGTCATGGAGTTTTGTTAATTGAGGTTTGTGAAGACATGTTCCTTATAAGAGGGTATGTCATTATCCCTTTATAACATGCTCATTTCAAATGGACATATGTCATACCAGTAATACTCTTATGATGATGGTATGAACAAAAATAGATATTTAATCGATATCAAGAGATAGGGTATTAGAGACTCCTTTTTTACATGCAAACATTATTGAGTCCAGTAACTATATATGGAAATATATGTCACCAAGGAATTATGTTGAGTCCATTTTTCTCAGTAAAATTTCCAGGAAACAATTCATAGCCCTGAGAGAAATAATGGGAATATAATTATTAAGTTAGAGAATAATCACAAACAAAGTGACATACTCAATGCAAAACTGATAATGATCTCCTAAAAAGTTAAACAAAGCATTTCATTCTAATTAATTAAACAATAATAATACCCTCAAGAAGGGAAAAGAGGGACACAGACACATTGCATTCCTGTTTGCAAAAAGAGCCAACCCAAACATCGCCCATGAGATTTCTTAATGACACAGGGAAATGGCTAAAACCACAGTAAAAATAGAAAATGCCTTTAGTAGTTTCCATTATAAACTTTTCATCTCATGGAGAAACTAGACAAAGCAAATTGGATAATTGTATGACCCTAATCGCTTCCTTTGTTTATGTTTGTCTTTCTTTTTATAACCTTCTCCTCTTGGTTAATGGCTCTAATCTCTGCACTAGTTTCTTAAATGAGAGCTAAGTGAAGTAAAAGAGAAAACCAAATTGTGTGTGTAGCACAATTTATTTTGATGGCCCTGTAGATGAAATTTCTAGATGAGATTAGACAGGAATAACTGGTCGGATGAGGAAGGGGAAAAGACCCCATTTAACATTCAGTTTTTGTTACTAGTTCTCCCAGCATAATTTCAAAATTCAGCCACAGGTAAACCCAAATATTTAATAAATACAGTGAATCAGACATTTGAAAAGCTATTACAAAGGTCAAAAGAAAAAAGTATCAAGCTCGACTCAAACTACAATAATTAGGAGATACACAAAACAAAAAGATCTGAAGTATGACATCAATAACATAAAGCATGGAGGAGGAAGGAGTAAAAATGTAGTCCTTATAGAACATATTTGAACTTAAATGCCCGTCAGCTTAAAATAGACTGCTATAAATATAGAATGATATATATATAACCCTCATGGTAACCATAAACCAAAAATCTACAAAGATACACAAAAAAACAAAGAAAAAGGAACCTAAACAAAGCACTAAAAACACAGCAAACCACAAATAAAGAGAGGAGAATTATAAAACAACCAAAAACAAGCCTTTCATCTAAGTTCAGGAGCAAGAAAAGGATTCCCACTATAACCACTTCTATTCAACATAGTATTGGAAGTCTTAGCCACAGTAATTAGACACGATAAAGATAAAAGGCACCCAAATACAGAAAAGAAGTAAAACTCTCATTATTTGAAGATGACATGATACTATACATAGAAAACCATAAAGACACCAACAAAAAACTATTAGAACTAATAAATAAATTCAGTAAAGTTGTAGGATACAGAATCAATATTCAAAAATCTGTTGTGTTTCTGTACACCAATAATGAATGATCAGAAGGAGAAATTAAAAGGACCTAAATAGACATTTCTCCAAAGAGGACATGCAGATGACCAAAAGATATATGAAAAGATACTCAACATCACTAATCATCAGGGAAATGTAAATTAAAGTCACAATGAGATGTCATTTCACACCTATCAGAATGGCTGTCATCAATAAATCAATAAACACCAAATATGGGTGAGGATGTGGAGCAATGGGAACAGTTGGTGGAACTGTAAATTATTACAGCCACTATGGAAAATAATATAGAGATTTCTCAAAAAGAATGAAAATAGAGCTGCCATAAGACCTAGCAATTCCACTTCTGGGTAACTATCTGAAGACAACAAAAAAATTAATTTAAAAAGCTATATGCACCCATATGTTCTTTGCAGCATTACTAGTAGTAGCCAAGATATGGAAGCAACGTAGATGTCCATCAATAGATGACTGGATAGAGAAGATTATTTATATATCTATATATCATATATCA